GCCACCTAGCAATTATAAGGGTGCTAGGACCCTTCACCCCACTCCCTGTAACAGGTTCTCTATATCTCCCAGAACCACCAGTGCACCCACAGACCAGCACCAGACACCAGTATTGCCCCCTTTATTCTCTAGTAATTCCCACACTCCTCACTGTCTACTGAACAACACAGAGCCCACGGCCCACCAGGCTTCTCCAAGCACACACTCGATTGCCAGAGGTTTACACAGCCCGTTTAAGGAGGAAAAGAAATGGTACATGGAAGTCCTCTCTCCCTATACAGAACAAGCCTACATTACATACATTACAGCAGTTCTAATTGCCCGAGCTTTGCTTTGCTATGCAGATACCGTTGAGGACATCTCTGTGGAAACAGTCAGTGCTATGGAGCAAATGCTGCAGAAACACGTAATAACATAAGAACTGTTATCAACCACTACTGTATGTCTATCTTGGTCATTTGGTGGTTAGTAGCTAATTTAACCCAGGCTCTCTTCCAGACATTTCTTAAAAGAAGCCAGCTTGTCCCAGACTCCCACCACCCTTTGGGTAAAGAATGGCCTCCTGCTCCCAGTTTTAAATACATGACCCATGTTCCCACAGCCCTTTGCGTCCTCTTGGGTTGGACATGTCTCCTGACCTCATTGTAGCATTGGCTGTAGAATTTACAGAGACCGTCTGCTTTTCCTTCAGCTGGTCTGAAGAGCAGCTGTCTTAAACAATCTCAAGTTTCTGTTGTTTTGACAAAACCACCTCTTCGCCTTTCCAAATGTTTTATTCTGTGCCCTGCAGTCCACCCTATATTTGTCCATGTGTGCCGTTGTAATAAGGATTTGACAGGGAGCTGAACTCCACCCTGCAGTGGTTTCCTCAGTGATATATAAATCACTTATCAAATGTTTACATCGTTGCTCTGGGAGCTGCAACAAGTTATCATCAGCGTCTTACACTCTAGTACATACATACTGTACAAAATATTGAATATTTGACGTTACTCCATAAAGCAAAGCGTATAATTCCTTAATATTATTTGTAAATCATTTAATTAACTTCATTATATGTTTTTTCTGGGTTAATGTTTTAAGGTTAGAGCATTTGGAATGAAAATTACCTGTGTAAGGATGTAGAGACCCTTTTCAAACATTAAAACTAGCATTAACCCTCTATGGGGAAAAAAACAATTCAAAACAATGCTCTTGGTATGTTTTAATATGATGTAAATACAAAAACGAGTTTGTCTATCATGAAAATCTCTTAGTATTTATGTTTTTGGATTTAAAATCTTTAATCTTCCTTTGTAAAATAAAAATTAAATGAAAATATTAAGTCAAATCGTCATTAACTTCAATCGCTACAATTTTGCCATGAAAATACAGGAAAGAGCAGCACATAAATATTAATTGTTATACGTGTCGCTGTGCCGAATAAACGGAATAATATTAAGTTCTAGTTATGTAAAACTGCAGAATCTAACTGCCTTGTTACTGCATCATGTGCGCCTGTGCTTACTCAGCAAGTTACTGTATGTACGAAGTCTGGCATTTCTATAGATTAGACTTCAAGGATCAAATCAAACGAGAAAGTAAAAACCATGTGGTATTGTAAGAGAAAATGGTTCGTGAACAGAAACATGAAAAACAGCTTTAATTTGAACGGAGAAAACTACGAACTATGTCCTGAAGTAGGTTTGGTGATCCGCGTTACGCACAGTGCGGACACTGAAGGCGGAGTTAATTTCCGTCTCCATGGCGCTGATACACAATCCTCAAGCTGAGGAACCCCCGAGCCGGAGATAAAGTCTTGCAAGAGCCGGGCACAGTTTCTCTGGAAACAATTGCTGTGAGAATCGAATTGTTTGGAAACAGCATCACTGTGAGTACTGATATTTTGCACACGAACACACTATTGCACGGCGTTTAACAGTTGGGTTGATAGCGACTGAGCAGCGCTACCAATTCACAGAAATGGGGTTTAAAACAGTAAACCACCGGCCTCACTTGATGCGTAAACAGTATTCGTTCAAAAGACATACTGTATTGTAATTCCGAAATAAACAGTGGTGAAATGAATTCTGTGAGGAGAGACAAAGGATGGCTAAAGAAAGTATTATTGATAGACATTAATATTTTGGGGGAAAAAAGGATACAATTCTTGATTATGGATTAAAAGCTCAATACTTTTAATTTTGAAGGGCATATATATATATGCATACAGTATGTCTTGTGTATTTATATTTTAGTTTTTTTTTCTGAACTCACTGGGCTTTTAATGTGACATTTGTTCAGGTATACATCTTTTTTACAAAGATAAATTATGAGCTGCCCATGATTTTAAGCCCTCAACATTAGTAGTGTACTAACAGTACTGTTACAGTGTTATCAGTGTTTTAGTCCACTTTACCTAGTGCCTATAGAAAGCAACAGTAAGGAAGGAGTTTGCAAAGCTCTCTGCCTTTCAGGCAGGTCCATTTTCCTATTCCTTTTTATTCCAGTTTCTGTTTTAGCAAGTTGAATTAGTCTTGGGGCTACAGCAGGCACTTCAGCCTGGCAGAATGGTGATAAACTGTCAGAGTCTTTTTCACACCGACAGTTTTAATGAGGAGCTTTCTGAATGTTCTAGGCTGCATGTTGTGGACCATGAGAGGGTATCTGAAATCCCTGGAAGGAACGTTTGTCCTTCGACCCAAAACCACCACCGTGGGCGGACATCCAGACTCCGATCTGTGTTTAGAGGTAACGGGTCTTTAAAGAAAACTCAGGCCTCATGACGACAGGCTCCGTCACTCCCTTGGTGTTTATTTCTACTCAGTTATCAGTTCCATTTTTTTTAGAAAGCGCCTTTTGATGTAATGCAAAAGTCATGCATTCCAGTTCCGGTGACTGTAATCTTTTCTTGTCACTGTGACAAGCAACACAGTGCCATGGTAGTTTAGAGCTGCTGCCTCACGGTTTAGGTTCACCATTGGACTAGGGTACCTTCCTCGTGGTTATCTCAGTGTTCTCATGAGGTTTGACCTGCTGCTCCCGTTTTCTGCCATCTTCCAAAGATGTGCTGGGCCGGGAACTGTGGATTTCAGTTGTCCCTGGCTGTGTGTGTTCTGCAATGGGCTGGCGTCCTGCCTTATGCTGTGTGCTTCTGCCTTGGTCTCCAGAGTGCCAGGAAGAAGTGGCCCTCTGATAAGATAGAGTGATTATAAGCGTGTGCACGTTTTTCCTATAAAACCTCTTTTATAAACGGGTTCGGCCAAACTGCTTCGAAATACTATTTACAATGCCTTCAGAAAATATTCACCTCTCCCCGCCCCATCCACCCGAACATTTGCATATATTGCTGTGTTAAGGCCAGAATTTGTGATGTATTTAAATAGTTTTTATACGCACAACATACCCAACAATTTGAAGGGGCAAGAATATTTTTTTTGTATAACAAACATGTATGAGAAACAGAAAATGGAAATGTCTTGGCTCCTGAAGTATTCACGCCTGTGAGCCAATACTTTGTGGATGCACATTTTGCAGGAATTACTGTACAACTTTAAGGCTTCCTGGGTCTGTATCAATAACAATAATAACTGTTTTATGGAAGCTCCACTCAAAGCACTTTATAGGTAATGGGGACTCCCCTCCACCACCATCGATTTGTAGCCCCCACCTGGATGATGCGACGGCTGCCATAGTCCGCCAGAACGCTCACCACACATCAGCTATTAGTGGGGAGGAGAGCAGATTGATGAATGCAATACATAGATGGGAATTATAAGGAAGCCATGACTGCTGAAGGCCAGGGAGAAATGATCAGTGTCAGCTTTGC